CCATGAGTAGAGGCTACTCAGGAAGCCAGGACAAAGAGGACATGATGGGGGAGGGAGAAAGAGGGGACAGGGCAGGGGGAGAGCAAAGCTTGGCTCCCTGTTTTCAAGTCATGAGTGAAATATGCAAATACTTCCAAAACTTCATTAATAATTTTCAAAAATGTATGACACTTTCCAGTACTATAGAATTCTAAGTGGAAGATGGGACTGACCCAAGGTACAACTTCTTAGCTAAAAGAGCCCAAATTGTTCCAAAACAACATGTTGACCCTAGTCCTGTTTCAGGGCAGGGGGCTGAACCAGGGTAGTGATTTGGATGGGGCTACTCTGACCTAAAAGCCTATGAGCAGGAGAGGGTTGACGGTGACTTCTTGGTGTGGTTGGTGTGGGGCAGTCTGAACCTCTTCGTCAGAGCAGGTGCCATGGCCTTCCACTTCTGGTCCTCCTGTGGGTGGCTGGGCAGCCAGGCTCCCACTGGAGGCCCCACTTCTTGCTCGAGGTGCCCTGAGCTGATGGTGGTGGCGACAACACGAGCCTGCAGACAGCTTTTCCACCTCCTTCTCACTTACATCTCAAAACAGCTTACTGTGATATCACAGAAAATAAACAACTCAGAGAGCATCCGCAATCTTCCCAAGACCACCTCATGGCTAGGTCACAGCCCACTCTCTTTAATTCATGTCCATGAGCAGCATCCAGGATGCCCAGAACAGACAGGCACTGGGGAGCGGGGGCTGTCAGCCTGGAGGCCCTGGTACCATTTTCCTCTTCTGTTTGAAAAGATACTCTGTGTGCGTGGTGACAGCTTCAGACCGAGCCCAGGATGGAGGCAACCACTGTGACTGTGTTCTTATCTGTCTTTCCAGAGCTGGTCTCTGTACATCCTGACATGTGTATGTATGTGTGCATATACACACACACATGAGCACACATGAGTGAGAGCACACTGCTTTTTGCCCCTAAAAGCATAACCTGAGGACTGCTCTGTGCCCAAAGATGTCATTTCAGCTCACATGTTCAAACAGCTGCGTAAGTTCCAGTGTGTGGACACAACAGATTTCCTGCCGCGGGTGGCCTGGGACATCTGCGCTAGAGGTGGCACTGGGCCAGAAGAGCCCTGTCTCCAGGCCCATGTGGGGGGCGAGTGGCACTGCTGAGGTCGATGATGAAGGGGGCCTCCCCTCATTGGGGTCCCTGGGACACTGAGTGGCCTCTCTGATCAGAGATGCCCTTGGAGACCTTCTAAGTGGCTCATCTGGGTCTCTGTCTGGCTCTGTCACACCTCATCTCTGGAGCTGACAGTCCCCAATCTTTTGGCCCTGAACGTTCCTGAAAAAGATGTTCCCTATGGAAGAACATTCAGAAAGAAACGTTCCCCAAGACAGAGAGAGCACAGGACTCTCAGCTGCAGGCTCTGGGCCTCTACCAGCTAAATGTAATTTTCCTCTTGGGCTCCCTCTGGGGACCCCACTGGGCCCCTCACTCCAAGTCATCAGGCCAATTATGCTGTCTGCTGGCTGGAGTATCCCACAGAAACATCTCAGGATGCCTCAGAAATATGAATTTTTCGTTAAAATAGCTGAACCTGGATCACATTCAACCCCATAATGTAGTGGTTTGCTCAATGACTGTGGAATATGGTCTTATCTAAGGAGAAGCAGGACATTTTAAGACCGTGGAGCCCAAAATTAACAGCTTGGAATTTTTGCCCATGCTGGCTGTTAATTGGCTTACGCCATTAAAGGGGAAGAAATTTTGGCAAATCCTGCAGCACTTGTACAAGTGAGGCCGTGGACACGATCAGACCATTTAACAAGAGGCATCTGGCGAACTGATCAATTTAGGAAAATGGGCTGTTTCATCAGAAGGTTTGCAAAAGCTTCTGTGCTTCCCAAATAGTGTCTGAGAACAGTTCCACCTCGAGACAGAACCAAACCCCTAAAACCCACAGAACCCAGCAACCACCATCGAAGTTGCGTTTTCTGGGGAACACGGTGAGGCCTTGTCACCAGCCTCCAAACCTCTTCTTGCTTTGCCTTTTATCTTTGGGGCAGCGCAGCTTGGTGCCCGAGGTCAGAACTGGGGTGAAGAGAGCCTGAGAAGAGTCACCTCAAATCACAGCAAGGTGAAGGGCGCGGGGTCAAGGCCACTCCCCAACCCGGTCAGCTCAAGGCCCACGGCGCATCTCCAGCTCAAGCCCTCTAGCTTCTCTCCCCAGCAGGCAGATGTCTGGTGAGGTGTGGTGACAGGGCTGGTAAGGGTCCCCTGACCTCCAGAGATGGGGCCCTGCCAGGCTGGGGCCATTTAGAAACATTTCATGATTTTTACAGAGTATTTCTTTTTTGTCCCCAAAATACCTCATTTCGCAGAAGACACACTTTGGACTTCCATCCATAGCTTACTGCAAACAAGGCCCCGCCTTGGCTCGGAAATCTTTTCTGGAATGACCCACCATTTGTGTTACCCTGAAGACAGCCCCAAAGACTTTCTCCTGAGCCCACGGAGCAGAGTGGCTGCTACTCCCAGGCCCGAGGGCCCTTCCTGGCCCCACAGGCTGGCCCACTCCAGCTGGTGCACCACAGCCCTCAGAGCTCCCCGGAGGGCGACGAGGGTCCTCCCCCAGCCCCCCAGGAGCAAGAAGCAGGGTTCTCCCGCTGCAAGTAGGTGGACAGTCTCAGGCTAACCTAACGCAAATGGAACTCATGGAGGGAAGGTCCCGAGCGTGCCCCATTGGCAGGAACAGTTTGCACACTGGCACAAAGGAAGGCGATCTCCCTAATGAGAGGCAGAGGCGCCTCCAGCTTGCTCTTCTGCTGCTGGACCCTTAGGCTGCTAGGAGGGGGCAGGCACGCCACTCCCTCCCCATAGCCTAGCCTGGGCACTTGTCACCTGGGAGGCTGGCCTGTACAGTGCAGCCTGGGGGAGAGGCGATGCCGCAGGGACAGCGGGGGCGCAGGTGTGCACGGAAAGGCAGCCAAAGCGCGAACCTCCTCTCTCCATGTCTGGCCCGGGGGCCCAGCTCTGCTCGAGGCGCTTAGTGGAGGGCCGTGCCCAGATCCCCTTTATCCTGTGGATCGGGCTCTCGGTGAAGGACAGGAGGAGCTAGAGCCCCAGTTCCTTTCCGCGGAAGCCTGGCTCGTGGGGAGGCAGGTCCCCACTGCTTCCCGCCCACGGAGGCGCACTCTGGGCTCTCTGGGGCCCGGCTCTGTGGGACTTGGGGCGCAGGAAGCCCCCAGCCTGCCGCGCTCCGCTCCTCCCCCTCCCCCGTCGCCAGTCCTGTCCCCACGGACCAAGGCTCCGCGCAGCCAGAATTCCTGGCTGCGGCTCTCACCCATGCCGCTTTTCCCGCCTGGGGCGGTCCACCTACCTGTCACCCAGCACAGCGGTGGGGCTTCTCTTCCTGGCGATGAACGCCGCGTTTGGAAAGGCCTTCCAGGAACTTTTCAACAAGGACAGCCGTCCTGAGGAAGCTCTGCGCCGCCCGGGCAAGAGAACGCGCATGTCTTCTCCGTGTGCGGGAGGCGAGCATGCGCAGACAGGGCGCCTCTTGTGCGCCTGCGCACAATCGCGCAGGTGCCTCCCCGGCGCCAGGTGCCCGGCGGCACGCACCCGCTTTTTTGAAGGCCCTGCATCTCGGGCCCTCGGGGAGAGCAAAACCCCTCCTAAAAGGCAGTGCCGTGGCTTAGGACCTTGGCTCTGCGCGCCCCCAGCCGTCTAGGTTTGGAGCCCGATCTGCCCCTTGCCAGCTGGCTTCGCCAGGGCAGGTGGCTGCACCTCTCCGGGCGATTTCTCATCTACAAACAGGGAGCCCTGACTGTGCCTGCTGCCCAGGGCCTAGGGGAGTCTCGTGGATTAACACAAGTAAAAAACACAGAAGGCCGCCTGGCAAATGGTCGTGTTCAGTAACCAGCCGCTGTCTTGGACGCGCAGGTACAATGTCAAATCCTGGGGACGGTTGGAAATGTGGAGATTTCAAGGTTCTATTTATGGACGATGGAAATTAGGTGGTCAGTGGAGGCGAGAAAAAGAGAAAAACGAAAACGTTCTTACGTCTGGCTTGTTGATGGCAGAGCTGGCTTCTGGAGCAAGAAGGCAAAATTGGAAGGACAGGCCCCGGTGCCCCTGAGACCTGGACCCCTGTGCTCCCTGCAGCCAGCAGCCCTGCCTCTCCCCAGACCCGGTCTGCACATGGGAATCACCTGGGTTGCTTTTCAAAAGAGAAGTGGATGTCTGTCCCAGCCCTCAGAGATCCTGTCTTTGTTGGTCCGGGTGTGCCCAAAGCACTGGGATTTGTGTGTGCTCCCAGTGATTCTGAAACGCACCACGTTCGATGGAGAGCCACTCCAGGATGCAAGTGGGGATGTGGGGAGAGATGCCTCTTCTGGGGGCTCAGGAGGGAGGCCTTGCTGCAGGCTGCATTCCCGCCAACCAATGGTAAGTTTGGTAGAGAGCAGTGGAACCTTTGGAAAGCACGGCAGGGGGTGGCCCTACATGGCCAGGTGCCCCTTCACCCCCACCCGATGTCCGTCTCTCCGGGAGAGCCTAAATCCCTCTGACCTCAGCCCTGCTGTCTGTGCGCACCTGCGTCTCACCAGAAGTGGGGGCTGGGATGGCTGTGTGTGTGGTTGAGGCCCGCACTGGGGTTCATCTTTACAGCCCTAGACTTCATGAGTCATTGCATCGATTCTTGAAGAAAACCACAAGCGAATAAGGAACAAAATGATGTTTTTATTAAAAATCGTACCCATAGCACCTCTCTGTCTTCCTACAAGTTTTTTTTTTCTTTTTTCTTTTCTTTCTTTTTTTTTAAATGAGATCTGGTTTTCTGCACAATTCCAGAAAACGTTGTCGGGAAAACTCCAGGAGTGACCTAAGCTCTGGATAACCCAGAAGGCGATGTTAGGGGTGGTGGTAAGGGGTGCCTCCGCGGACTAGCTCAGTTCACGGATGGCTGCAGTGTTTCTGCCTTCCTGACCCTGTTCATGCTACAGGGATGCTGCGTTAAGGACAGCCAGCTTGGGATACGCGGATGGATTGCTCATTGGGAGAATAACTACACTGTGTGCCAAGAATTTTTAAAAACTAGAAACCATGCTACGATCCATTACGCAAACACCATGCTTCAGTCCAGTCGTGATCAAGTACAAGCCCAGCATCCAAAGACGTTTACAGAGCGCGCGCACGACCCTTCCTCCTGGCAGTGTGGCCTCGTCCCGCACTCGTGGGGCATGAGTCCCCACGTTGCCCTAGGCCACACCGTCCTCTGCTACGACATTTTCTTGGGTACTTCTTAAAAGTATGACAGTGAGAGCAGTGGAGGGGAAGGCTGGGGGAGGAGGGGATCGGTGTGGGCCTGTTTATCCAGGAAGAGGTGCGTGAGGCCATGCTGATGTGGTTCATGCCGGCTAGGTGTGGGGACTGCCTGCAGCTGCCCCGCCGCTCACCTGTCTGGGAAAGCTGGTGCCCAGCGGAAAGGGGCAGCCCGGTGCATGCCCAGCCCTGCGGCTCCAACAGAGAGCCTGGCCCCTCCTGGCTGCTTAGCGGGTTCATTCTTGCTCACCTGTCGGAGCAGTCTCCAGGGACCCACCCGAGGGCGTGCATGGGCGGGGCTCAGCTACTGGTGGCTGGAGAGCACCTGGATGACGTCACTAAGGAGGAAGTCCAGCGGCGGACTTTCCCTCTTGCCTTGGTTAAAGAAATGTTGCTTGTTCGTGTGAGATATTTTGTTTTTCCTCCGTAAAGTTGAGAGGCGGGGAAGTGACGCTGGTCCAGGCGTGCACTGCTGGAGGAGGCCGAAACCAGACTGGAAACCTCCCTTCCCCTGGTGCAACCTCTCCCGAGGGCCCAGCTGGAGGGTGGATGCTGACAGTCCATCCGCAGCCTGCGGCGCCTCAGTTCCACAAAAAGCAAATTCAGGGAAGGTAGAGAAAGCTCAAGGAAGAGAAGGAACCCCCCAAAAAATGTCATGTCGCAGCAGAAACCCGCAAACCAAAGAACACAACTCAAACCAAATCGTTCTTGTTCCAACACGTCCTAACACTTTCCCCCATTATTTAAAGCAAAGTCCATATGGCTTAGAGAGCGAAGTGCACAGGAGGCAGGGTTTGTCCGAGTTCTTCCAAGAAGTTCCGCTTGCAGTCTCGAGGTTTCCTGCCCCCTTTCCCGGTGGTGGAGGCGCGGAGAGGAAGGCGTGGAGGCTCTGGACCCGAGGGGCATCCTGTCCAGTGAACTGTGGTGGGTGATTCTCACACACAAGTGGCTTTGGGCAGAGCGTCTAGGATTTTTGGTTTAGAATATTTCTGCCTCCACTCAAAAAACAAAGGCAGCAAGGGAGGGAAGGAAAAGGAGGGGATTGAGAGAGAGAGAGAAAGGAACCTTTGCATACCCTCTAGTTTTCGGAAAAACTGAAAAGGGGCTTTTCACCCAACACAAAACTCTCCTCGGTCTCCTGGGGCCACAGGCGGCCTCTCTGAAAGCAGAGGCTACCATGGAGGTGTAGAAGGAAGACAGTGGAGTAGGCACCATGAGCTCTCCACGTGGCCCAGAGATGGGCTCCCCCACCCTTAGGGCACCGCAGGTCACCTGGGAGAACGGCACCTGCCTCGCTCCCCTGGGCCTCGGGGGTGTCAACAGAATGGCTGGACAGTGTCATGGCCACACTCCTTCTGGTGAGGTGGGGACACTGGGCCATCCCCGAGCTCTGGGCACACTCGGGCTGGCGTTAGCGGCTCACAGTGTACCCCTGGACCTAGGCTCTGGCCTGGAGAGTCGGCCACATTAGACCCTCTTGCAAGAATAATGTGACGGCTGGGCCACAGCCACAGATTGGACTCTTGATTTTTCAACATAGTTCATGCTCTTTTCATGTAGCTAAAAACGAAAACAAAACAATAGCAAAGGGGGAAAGAAAACGTTTCCAGAAAACCCTTTAAGGCTAGAAGCTGGGCTGGGGTCGGGGGGCGGGGACAGCAGCAGCACTGGTGGTCAAGGCAGTGTGCAGTGGGCGGAGCAGGCAGACCCGGGGGCAGTGCTCGGGGGCAGGCCGGAGCCCGCCTGCGCAGGAGGCCTGGCGAGGAAGCTGGGGCCTCGTTTGCTCAGAGCTGCTTTGCTTTATTTGGAGACACTGACGCTTGTCGTCTTTCTCATGTACAAAGCTAAACAATTAATAAAAAGGCACCTGGAGACAGCAGAGACTCATTCATTTCATGTGACATATTTTAAAAAAAGATAAAAAGATTTAAAAAATACTCTGGTTAACAATGCACACGTCTTACACAACAAGCAATTATTCTGCAAGCGCCGTCTGGTTCTCTCTGGGTTAGCAGGGTTGGCTGTGTGCTGTGTTCTCGGGAAGGAGCTAGCTCGCTAAGTGAGGGCCAGCGTGGCGGCTTCCGGCCCCGGGGGGTGGTTTCCTGCTCTGCACCGTTGGGTTTAAGGAGAGAAAGGAAGAAAAAGCCCCGGTGTTTCACCACTGCAATGACACAGGGTGAGACCAACGGAGTCGTCGCCGGGTCTGAGGACCCCACCTCTCAATCTCTTGCCCCCTTGTCAGGAACCTGGATGCTGATTCCTTGCCTAGAAACTGCGGAGGGAGAATATTTCAGAGGTGGATGCTGTCAGGCGGAAAAGGGCCCAGCCCAGGGCAGACTTCACTCTGCGGCCCCAGGAGGCGGCGAGAGCCCAGCTGGTCGGTGTGACCGATGGGGACCCTGGCGTGCGACTGGTTCTCTGGAGGCACAGGAGGTAGAGAAGAGGAAGGAGCGCCCTGGATGCGGGCGGACAGCTCCCTGGATCCCCGCTCTTCCTCCCCCCGCAGCCTCCCTAGTCAGGCATCGGGATCGAGAAACCCGGGGCTGGGGGGCTCGGGGGTCTGAGGCCTTCCCACCATTGCACCACTGAAATACACCTTCTCGTAAAAAGAAAAGAAAACAAAGAAACCCGCTTCCTGCAGCGATGTTACAAAAAGCCGTTAAAAAAACCTTCCTAATTGAAATCTAGTGTCCACAAGTAGGTAAAATCATCACTTATCAGAATTCTCTTTAAACAAAAGCTTGAGCTCAGTTATTGGAGTTGATTGTCTTAACAAAAGGAGGCTGGGAGGTCCGCTGAGGCCCCGCTGGGGCCGTCACACGAAGGAAGAGAAGCCGGTGAGTGGAGTCCGGGCGCCAGGGCCCGTGGGCGCAAACACGGCACTCTGCGTGGTGACCACTGTGTGCAGGTGTGGCCCTGCCTCGCTGCCCGCCACAGCCTCGTACCTGTGCGGGGCACGGCCGCCCGGGGCCCGCCGCTTCCACGAGTTGTAGTAGGTGGGGTCGCTCATGTAGTGGTTGACGAAGGAGTGCTGGGGGGGTGCGTCCTCGGACTCGGAGTCAGTGCCCTGGGGGGACAATGAGATGTGAGCAGGTGCATGGGAGAGGAAGGACAGACATGGGGGGGGCGAGTATGGGGGAAGGGATGGGGTGGCCTGGAGGGAGGGGTGGACGGCAACAGGGAAAGGCAGCTATGATGGAGCAGGGGGGCACAGCCACGGAGGGATGGGTGGCCACAGGGGGAGGGGAGTCCCGGGGGGGAGTGGCTACATGTAGCAGGGCTGAGCTGGAAGCAGGGAGTGGCCAGGAGGCAGGACCAGAACTAGCAACCCAAAGTGGAAAGGTTTGTGTCAGTTCCCACCCTCTGCCCCTTCCTCCCCCGACTCCCACCCTGCACACTAGGAGCACCCACACCTCCCCAGACTGACAGCTCCCCCCTGCCCCCTGCTGAGCTCAGCATCTCCCCTGTGTTCACACAGGGACCATGTGCTGTCCCAGCTGCTCCTGAGCTGCTGTGTATCTGAGCCTGTCGCAGGACGGGTCTACATTGCTCTTCCGCCCCAGGACAGGCCAACATAGCCTCCAGGGGGTGCTCTGTGCCCTCACAGGGCAGAAGCCCTGCGTGGTGGGGGGAGTCGGAAAGGCCCAGGGTCCTCGGCTTGCCCAAGCTTCCAGTGTAGGCTGGCCCAGAGCACGGGGAGCCCGCCTTGAGCCCACAAGGAGAGAAGCAAGGGGTATCCTCCATGGGACACAAATTCCGCGTGCTGTCACCTCCACGAAGACCTCTGGGGGAAGCCTGCTGAGGAACGAGGCCCTAGCGAGCCATGAGCTCTCATGGACGCACCCAGTCCCTGCCTCCCCAGGCCCCAGAGAGACCTGAGCTTTCGCCAGTGGTACAGAAGAGCCCGCCCTGGGAAGGCCAGTCTGCGAGGGTTTCATTTCCTTTCTTTTAATAGAATAAATCCAAAGTTTCCACGAAGAACATTTAGTCCACATTGTCTCTATGTCTCTATACCCGGTTTCTGGGGGTTCATTTTAAATCACTAGAAGCAATGCCAGCTGGGACAGTGGATGGAGGCCGTTTTCCCAAGACAGTGGAAGCCCCACCCTTCCCTGCCCCAGAGGTGCTCTGTGGCCCTGGGGGCTTCTTGAACTCTGCGGAGCCCTGCTACCTGCTGGGGTGCAGCCCGTAGTCTGGCTAGGCTCTCTGTCATGCCCCACACCCTGAAAACACAGGGGGTTCCTCCCTGCCCCACCTGGGATGGAGCAGAGGCTGCGGACACCTCAGATATGCCAAAAATGGGTCCAGAAACATGTGCCTGTCCAGGCTTTCAAGTTCAAGGTGAGGGAACAGGAGCAGTTGGCTGGGTAAAGCCTCTCCCATTCCAAGATGCCCTGGCAGGGCTCTGTCCCTGACACCTGGCATGCCTCCTCCCTGGGCTCCAGTGCCTGAGCTCTGACCTTTCCCCTTTCCACAGAGGGTGTCAGGAGGCCCCCAAGCCTGTCTCAGAATCACCAGGGAAGTTTCGGGGTGTGGTTCCTGCTGTCTTGATGGAGAGGGTCTGGGGCAGGGCCCTGGAATGTGCATTTCTTAGAAGCTCTGGGAGGATTCTGATCGGTGGTCAGGCTGGAGTGAGGTCAGGGAAGGGGGAGAGAGCTGACTGCTGGCCTCCATTCTATGTGTCGTCTGTATAGAGACTCATGAAAGCCAGAGAGGGTCCCTTGGTGCCCCGAGCCACTCTCCCCCATCTGATGGGGAGGACATGGCCCGTGTCACCCACATGCAGGAAGCTTGACCCAGGGACTAATGCTGTTCTCCACCCGAGGAGCCGGTGCTGTGTCCTGTGAGCCAGTAAAGTGGGCAGACGTCCCTTTGGACATCATGGGGAGCTGGAGCCTCCTGGGATTTTCCAGACACAGACTGAAAATCTGGCTCTCGCTGGAACGTTTACAGGAAAGTAACAATAAGTCACAGAGCTGGGACTACTCAGGACGTGAGACGTAAACTGTTTATGTTTCGACCCAATCAGAGCGCGTCTGTGGTCTCTCTGCTTCTCCCTGAGTTGGAGCTTGCGTAAACGCAGGTGTGATGAAGGGCTCCCTGACACATCCCAGGACGCGGACGGCACCCAGCTCTGCCACCAGCGGACAGTGATGGTGGAACAGAGCCAGGACGACCTGCATTTTAGCAGCCGCTGTGCACACCGAGTGACACCCCCATCCAGTCTCTGACACTGCACAGCAGCCGTGAGCTGGGGATTTTTATTCCTATTTTAGGGATGAAGAGAGAGGCTCAGAGAGCAGTCATGCTGCCGGTGTCCCAGGCCGGGTGGGAGCCGCCCAGGAACTGGCCGTCCGCTCCAGCCTCTCCTTCATGTCACAACCCCCCGCCGGTCAGTCCCAGACCCACCGTGCTCTGCAAACCAAACGCTGTTTTTGTAACTCACCCCAAGCCTGACCTGCGTGGGGCTAGTTTGGCAGCTAACCCCGAGCTGAACTGATGTGAAAATGTGTAGTGTGAACAGTGTTTGGTTTTGCTGCAGGAATGCTAATGGGTTTGATCTGTGATGCTGCCTGATCCTGCCGGGGCCGTGACCTAATGTCCCATGCATTCCCATACCCGAAAAACACGGAGTTCTTCAGTGGATCTGGCCTTAGGAGTTGCAGATAAGAGATGCGATAGCTGTAATTCCAGCAGCTAAGGTTTGTTCTTCCTCTGTTTTCCAGAGGCCTTGTGGGGCTTTGAGACCAAGCTCTGTGTACATCGAGATGGACAGGAACAAGGACAGAGGTCACCTGAAGGATCAGGTGGCCGCTGTGTTATCAGCCCCCGAGCTGGGTTTGTCCCTTCTTCACCCGTCTTGGCTGTAAGTTTTGCAAGTTCAGGAGCAAAGAGCTCACGTGGAGATGCGTTGGGGGCAGCCCCCTCTTGAGAAAGGCCCAGAACACTCAGGATATGGACCGCAGGTCCCACACACTGGGGTCAGGGTCATGGTTAGCTGAAGACCAGATGTAAGGTTAAAGATTTTCACCCTCTTTGCACTGTACCCTCCGGTGCTCGGAGGCAGCCCCATGCACCATCCATCCCAACCACGAGGGATACATGGGAGCAAGAATGTGAGAAGGAGCAGCTGGATTCAATTTCCTCATTTTGTGTCTGAAAGGACTGAGACCCACACAAGCATGTGACCTTCTCCAGGTTATACCGACCGGGGACGGAGCCAGGCCAGACCCAGCGCTGATGTCACAGCCAAAGGTGGCAGAAACGAAGCCTCTTTCGAAACACGTTGTACACCTTCCAGGACAGCTGTATAAAGGGTCAGGTCTCTGATCGGAGGAAATGGCCACACGCAGGAGTCCCCTGTGGCCCTGTCCAACACTTGCTTCTCCCCTGTCTTGTGACCCCTGCCCACTCCTCTTGCTGCTGTTGGGTCATGGAGAAGCCCAGCTCGAAGTCGCCAGGAGGCAGCAGGTCTAGAAGGGACTCCCACGTCCTTGCAGGAGGCAGCCTTTCCACGGGCACATCCAGCCCGGATGCGGGATGGGTCCCACCCCCATATGCCTGTTTATGTGATGAACTATACAGTCTCATTGGAGAAGGCTCAGAAGCTTTATCATTATATGTTTTCTCAAGCACAGACCTCAAAGTCCTATGGAATGGAGAGGGGTCTGTGACAGATGTGGGTGCTGAGAGGAGGCCCCAGCAGGAGACAGTCCTGTGGTTGTCTGACTCACAGTGATATCCCAGTGTGTGTGTCTGGGCTTTGACCTTCTCAAATGAACTTCAGAAAGTGATCCTTCTCTGCCTGTCCTTGTCCACGGGATGAATGGCCTGTCCCTCATTAAACAATGATTGGTTCATGGGCACGCATGCAATTTAAGCTGAGCCAATCAGAATCCTCCCTGGGACTCTGCAGGGCATGGGGAAGAGCAGGGTTTTTGGGTGGCAAAGCTGGGCGCTGGCTGTGTGCCCTGAGTGGGCAGGGCCCAGAGATGCGGCCAAGAGCCCCTGTGAGAGGAGAAGACCATCCTGCAGAAAGACAGGAGAGACAGGAGCCTAAGAGTAGAGGGTCATGACACATTAAGTCCAGTCTCCAGGCTCCTGCTCAGCCCTCGGCATCACCTCCATGAGAGAGCCCCAAATCCAAATGCCACCCTCCCCCCTCTGCCTGCTCTGTTTATTGTTTATATGACATTATTATTTTTTAATGGGGATGTATTTTAGTGAGTTAGAATTATCGACAAAAAGGCAATACTGCAGGATCCTTTTTTTCTTTTTTAAGTTTCCTGTGTGATATGAAGTAGTGATGTGTGTTGGTTTCCCAGGAAACCAGAGAAGGACAGCAGGTGATTGGACGCGGTGGCAGTTTCTAAAGGTGCACAGATGCCTGGCAAATGGCTAACAGAGATAAGCTCAACACTTTCGGCATTATATATGCAAGATGAAAGAGTCAAATATTATGAGGGAATTAATTAGGTATGAGGGGGTTGGTCTAAGTTGGTTGGAGCAGGAGAGGTTTTGAAAACTGTTTATTTGGATTTTGAAAACAGTTTTTCTCATGCGATTTGAAGAGTAGTCCTGCTATGCAGTTGTGTGAAAACTTGGTGACAGACCTTCTTATTCCCAACCGGAGAAAGATAAGGAACCACAGCAGGTGTCCTGAGACACCAAGTGCCTGACTCAGAGCCGCTCTGATCAGGCAGGTCCTGGGGCTCCTGTGAGCCCATTTGCAGAATGTCCCCTTTAAGCAATAATCCTGAAAATGGGTCAAAAGATACCCTGTGGAGAAATGGACAGCATCACTAGCTTCTTAGTGAAATACTAGCTTCACAGAAGAGAACTTCCAGCCAGGACCTCACGGGGTTTCTGCCTCCTTCCTTCCTGGGGCTCTGCAAAGGGGGGGTGAGGAGGAGGGGGAGGGCATTAAACTCTTGACGAAGCCCAGGGCCCAGAATGTGCCTTACTCTTCATGCCTGACATCTTAGCGTGCAGTCGATTTAAACCTAGAAGCTGCCTCCGGTAGAGAGGATTACAATCTGAAATCTAAACCCAGTCCTAGTTGAGATA